AAAAAAAAAAACTGGATATACGTATACTTGTGTGATATTTCAAATTAAAGATTCCTATTTTCTTTCAGTGTATTAAAACCTATAGCACAGATTGGCATGTGGTAAACTACAAGTATGAAGACTTCTCTGGAGACTTTCGAATGTTGCCATGGTAAGTGTAGAATTCAAGGGAAACCTTTGAGATGAGAGTTACTCAACGTTTTACCTTTTTCTTACCACTTATAAAGCTTCTCAGTGATAATTTATGATAAAACAAGGCCTTAGGCAGCTGGCTTGTTTGGTAAATGTATTTTGGACAATTGAATATGTTTTCACTTTGCGCATTGAAATTCTTTCGAAAATGTAGGAGTTCGCTTTTTGGTTTTGATGCATCTATATTGACCATAAAATCTTTTAGTTCTGGATAATATAGTGAGCACTTTCCAGTGGTGTCAATGAAAATGCTAGAAGGGGGGCACCTGGGTGGCTCAGGTGATTAAGCGTCTGACTTCAGCTCACGTCATGATCTCGGGGTCTTGGGATTGAGCCCTGCATCGGGCTCCCTGCTCGACGGGGAGTCTGCTTATCCCTCTGCCCCTTCCCCTGCTCATGTTCTCTCTCTCTCTCTCTCTCAAATAAATAAAATCTTTAAAAAGAAAATGCTAGAAGGCACTCAGTTCAATTCGATGACCCCAGACATCCCTTGACAAAAGCACATCTCTTTCAGTTGAGTTGACAGACTGCCACGAGCACACTGGTCCAGGAGCCAGTTCAAATCTTATTTGTTGAGGTTCCAGTCTTATTTCTGCCACTTACTGGCTGGATGACCTTGGGCCAGTCACTCAATCTCTCTGAGCTTCCCTGTTATCCCTTTCCCCATCTATAGTCCTACTAACCTCATAGGCTATCATCTGGGAAATGTTTTCGAGAAATAAGACATTGTGTAGCCTCTTGTAGTTTTCAAAGCACTTCCCTAGAAGAGAAAAGAGTCCTAAAGACATCCTTTAAACTTGAATCCCAAGATGGCTGACCAATCCAAGCTTATACAGCAGACGAATGGAAGAGCCAGAATTACACTGTGTTGCTTTTCCTTCTGAGGAAAGACAAGCTTCTGCCTCCTCTAACAACTCTGGCCCGCATTCTCTGGCAGTTCTGCCCTCCCTGACTGACTTAGTATTTGCGCTTAGTTACAGCTTTGCCGCAGGCTGCACATGTGGGAGTCCTTATATAAAAGGTACTGTAAGTTTACTCAGAGGGGCAACCCTGAGTTTGGAAAGGAGAAAAGAATTTATCCCCCTCGTGTTTGGCGTTTATCTCGGTTGTAAAAAAGTCTACTCATCTTGCTTTTATTTATTTATTTTTGTGTGTGTTCTCTTCAGTATCTGAGATAATTCTCTTGCGTTTTCAGCAAATCTCTGCGACCAGAAAAGATTCCCAGTCACGTATTTGAGATTGACGAGGACTGTGAGAAAGACGAGGTAAAAGTGGGGGGCCACGGTGCTGGTGTCCTCACGGTCGCTTCTGCTGCCAGAGATTTCCTTGACAAAAAGATGAGGGACAGAATGGTTTTCGAGTGATCGGTGGCCGGCTTTCAAGCCAATGCGTGTTTTTTAAGAATCTTAAAAAAATTGTTGCATTTCCAAATGGAGTTTAGGAAAAATCAAGTGAAATGGGCTGTGATTTGTATATAAACATGTTTTCCCACCTGTGGAAGACACCTGTGGGGCTGGTTTTCCCCGTGCTGGGCATGTGGCAATGGTGAGTCATCTGGAACCCCCTGCATCATGGATCCCTCTTGGGACAGATGGCCTGGATGTCTGTGACATTTTGAGGTGCAGTTTGACGGTTTACTTAATGCAGAAGACTCTCCCAGAAGACAGCCCGTAAGAGTCAGTAAATACTGAGTACCTGCTGTGTGCATGGCACAGAGCCTTTCTTTCCCTAGTGAACAATTTCAAGTTTCATCAGGCATCTTTGTGGGGGCGGTGGGGGACTTAATGCTTTAATTAGAAAATGGGGCAGGGCCTAGTTCGTGTCCCCCAAAAGTTTGATTAGATGGCTGGCTGTTTCACTGATGCTTTTTGCCCTATTTCAGGATTCCTCTTCACTGTGTTCTCAGAAGGGTGGCGTCATAAAACAAGGCTGGTTGCATAAAGCAAATGTAAATAGTACCATCACGGTCACCATGAAGGTAAGAAGTAGTTATTATGTTATTTCGGATATTGTCGTGAGTAACGTGCGTGGAAAAAATATTGCTTTAAAAAAATGTTTACAGGGCGCCTGGGTGGCTCAGTCGGTT